CCCTCACCCACCCCTGCATCCATCTCCCCAGACCCCCTCACCCACCCCTACATACATCTCCCCTACCCTGACCCACCCCTGCATCCATCTCACCCTTACCCCGAAAACACCCCTCCATCCGTCTCCCCTACCCCCTCATCCATCCATCCATCCATCCATCCATCCATCCATCTACCTATCTATCCCCACATTCATTCATCTACCCATTTGCCCATCTATCCATCCACCCAGCTACCTATGCATCCAATCATCTACCCACCCACCCAACCATCCAGTGAGGGGCAGCAATGGTTTCTGAAAACCTGACAAATGTATGTGACTGTGGAGAAGGGGGACACAGGTGGCTGCTGAAGACTGCGGATGGGGATCCCTGACTCCTCACCTGTCAAAGCCAGACACCAGCAGACAACGACCATCACACACCCAGACAATGCGGGCTCCGCGTCCTCCCTCGGGCCCTGGGCCTTCCTGTTGAGATACATCTTGTAACACCCAGCCAGGACCCCTGAACCAGATCTGAGGCTACTCCCCAGCCCGTGTGCTCACCTGCAGGGGCTCAGGGCTTCTCAGGGGCCTGTAAACCCGCACACGCCCATCCCTGCAGACAGTGGCCAACTGCTGCCCATCAGGACTCCAAGCCAGGCTGAAGATCTGGGGGCAGGAAGGGACATGAGACACAGTCTTGCCTCACTGCTGGCCCCGCCCCTCCTCACTGCGGGCCCCGCTCCTCCTCACTGTGGGCCCCACCTCTGCAGCACTCCTACCTGGTCTCGGTGGCCCTGCAGCTTCAACCGCTCAACTCCAGCCTGAAGGTCCCAGATGCAAACAGTGAGGTCATAGGAGGACGAGGCCAGCACATCCGCCGCCAGTGGGTGGAAGCGCAGGGAGCAGATCTTCTCCATGTGACCTGGAGGAAGGAAGGGGTGACAGGGAGCCCTGTGGAGGCACTGACCACCCTAGCCCCATTCCCGAGAGCCTGCCTGACCTGTGAGCACAGCCTCAGGTGTGGTGAGCACCTCTTTCAGGCCCTCTGGGGGCACCCGCCACAGTCGGATCCTGGCATCCTCACCACCTGCAGAGGACAGACGGGGGCTCATTATTGCTGGGCCCAAGACCGCTCGGCTCCCCAGTGCCCATCCAGGACCCAGGACCTAGGACCCTCCCTCAAGCCTGGGCACCCAGCCTCCTTACCCACAGCGAGGCGATGGAGGTCAAAGGGGTCCCAAGCCAGATCAGTCACAGATGCCCCATTCTGCAGTGTGGGCAGTGCAGTGTCCGGCAGGCGGCCAGGCTTCCGTAGCTGTGGGAGGTGCCCCCACCCCGAGGCCCATCAGTGCCAGGCAGAAGAGCCAGTCCCCAGGGGCTGCAGGCAAGCAGTGTGCCTGGGCCCTCACCTGCTGCAGCAGAGGCTCCCACCACTGGATGGCCCAAGCTCTCTGCCCTGACCACCTCGTGCCCAGGTGCCAACCACAAGGCCCCAGAGAGTGAGGGGGCAGTAGCGTGAACTGGCGGGAAAAGCTCAGGCTTGGGGCTCAGGTGGCCTGGCTTTGGATCCCAGCTCCACCACTTACACAGCTGTGTGACCTGCACAGGTCAGTAAACCTCTCTGGACCTCTTCTCCCTTATCTGTAAAATGGTGGATAAAAGTGGCAGGCCCCGCGGCGGGTGGCTGGGAGGATGATGGGACAGGCTGGCAGGGGCCTGACACACAGTTTGTGCTCCCTGTGCCATGTGTGTGGCTAAGACCTCTGCATTCTTGCCACTGGCAGGGAACTGAGGGGCAGCCCTAGGGGGCGGGACCCTCACCTCAAGCACGGCCACCTGTCCCCCGCTGCTGAGCAAGGGCACGGCCACACGCAGTTTGTTGGCACAGAAGCCATCACACTCGCCAGGTGTGGTGAGGTTAAGCCCCTTGAGGTTGGTGATGTGGCTGTCTCGGTGCAGGACGGTGCCCTGAGCATGGCGGAACTTGGAACTGGGGCCTGGCGGGTAGCAGGGACATGGAACCACGTGTGAGGATGCTGTCCCTGCCTGCCCTGCACTCCGAGAACCCGCTCCCCTCACCCTGGGCAGGTGCACAGCGTGAACCTAGGCCCAGGCCTCTGCTAATTCAATGGATGCAACTCGCCCAGCAATAATGCCTGGAACAAGACCCTGTTCCCTGATGGCTCTGAGGAATCTCGGTGGAGCCCCAGGGTTTCAGCTGCTGGTGGTCCCAGCCGCCTTCCTGTTTTACAGGTGAGACTCAGCAGCCACACCCCAGCCCCCAGGACAAATGACTCTGCCCGCTGTGAGTCTGTGTGAGGGGGGTGCCCTGCATGAGGCCTCTGCTCAGGGGAAGGTACAGAGGAGGGTACAGGGGTAGAGTACAGAAGAGTGGGGCAGACAGGGCTCCCAAGGTAGGGGTGAGCTCCTCAACCTTCTCCCTTACCCAGCAGGCTCTGCAGCGACCTCAGACTGGGGCTGGTCCCGATGCCACTGGTGCTGGAGAGCGAGGGCCCCAGGCTGGAGGGCGTGGAGGGCGAGGTCAGCGAACTGGGAGGGGAGGAGAAGTCCTCCTGGGGAGGGGCATGGGGTCAGCCAGCCCGCTCCTAGGTGTGCTGGCCAAAGAGAGGGAGCACCAGCCGACTCCAGGGTCACCACTCTGGGCCCCCTGTGAACTGAAGGAGCCCCCACTGTGGGCATGGAACAGGAGCGGTGGGGGGCATGGGCATAAATGCAGACACTGCCAGTGCTGGGGTAACACACGGGGAAGCAGCTGAGCTTCAGACCTCGGGGACATCAAGTGGCAGCTGCTGGCTCCCGGCCCTGCAGGAGGGTGTACCCAGTGGGTTAGATCTGCCAATATTTTCAGAGGAGCCAGAAATCTAGATCTATATGAGAATTCTTGCTTTTTAAGTGTTTGCCCAATTTAGAAAGCACTGTGAAGTTCCTTCTTTACGTTCCACATGTTTCTCAGTCTCTGCTACACTTTGCAATCAAAGAAGGTTGGGGCCGGGCACAGTTGCTCAAGACTGTAATTCCAGCAGCTTGGAAGGCTAAAGAGGGCAGATCACTTGAGGTCAGGAGTTAGAAACCTGGCCAACATGGTGAAACTAATTCTCTGATAAAGACACAAAAAATCAATCGGACAGGCTGGGCGCAGTGGCTCAAGCCTGTAATCCCAGCACTTTGGGAGGCCGAGGCGGGTGGATCACGAGGTCAAGAGATCGAGACCATCCTGGTCAACAAGGTGAAACCTCGTCTCTA